TTCTTTTATTCTTTTCCCTGTACTCTTGTGAAGAACGTTGTTCTTTTTTCCTTTTCTTCTGTGTTTAGTACTTTCTTCAGTGTTTCATGTAGAGATGGTTTTGTGGCTGCATAAGTTCTTAGGGATTGGATATCTGGGAAAGATTTTAATTCTCCCTCACTGATGAAGCTTAGCTTGGCTGGGTAGGTTATTGTTGGTTGAAATTGTTTATCCTTTAGGACTTTGAAGATAGGGCTCCAAGCTCTCCTAGCCTGCAGGGTTTCTGCAGATAAATCTGCTGCTATTCTGATTGGTCTTCCATGGTGGGTGATCAGGCCTTTTTCTCTTGCTGCCTTTAGGATTTTTTCTTTTGTGCCTACTTTATTTAGGCGAATTATTATGTGTCTAGGAGTTGGTCTTCTCATTTGTTGTCTTGCGGGGGTTCTCTGAATCTCTTGTGTTTGAATTTTTGTATCACTGATTAGATGAGGGAAATTTTCTTGAATGATCTCGTGGAAAGTTTGTTCCAATGTGGTCTCTGTTTCTCTTTCTGCCTCAGGGAGTCCGATTATTCTTAGGTTAGGCCTCTTGAGGTAGTCACTCAACACTTGAAGGTTTTGTTCTGTCTTTTTTAGCTTATTTTCTGTGTTTTTAAGAGTTTGGGTTATTTCTATATTTTGGTCCTCAAGCTCTGAGATTCTTTCTTCTTCTTGGGTAATTCTGCTTTCCATGCTTATCAATTTGTTATTTATTTCATTCATAGTATTCTTTATTACTGTTATCTCAGATATCAGCTCCTTCCTAGTTTCTTCTTGTGTCTCCTCAATTCTTTTTAGTCTCTCCATTATTGCTTTGATATCTACATTTGCATTTTGAGACCCTTCATTCTGGGGACTTTTCATTGTTTGTATTCCAAAGTCAATTTTCTCAGTGTCTGCTCTCCCAGGCATCTGGGAGAGACCCATACTCTTCTTTTGGTTTTTCTTCATTTCTGTAGATTTTTCTCCCTTTACCCCTTTCCCTCCCCCTCTTCAATTCTGTTTTTGAGGGAAGGTGGGGTTGCTTTTATTTCTCTTCTGCAATGACCTGTTCTTCCTTATGAGGGTCTTCTGGTTTTGTTCACTTTTCCCTCTGCTTTACAGTCTATCTATTCAGCAGTTTGCAGTCTTGGTCCCTAGATTTAAAAAAGGGGGCATATAGAAGAGGAAAATAATGGAGGAAGGGGGGGGTCAATAGGGAGTTAGAAAGAGAGAAGCGCGAGAGGGAAAACAGATATACATACCATCTATCAGGTGAGAACGAGACACAGGGCTGGGAAGAGGTGAAGAAAGACACGTAAGAAAGAGTACTGATAGCTACGTAGTACTAAAGAGTACTGAAGCAACACAGAGACAGGGCAATAAAATCGAGAAACAGTGTAAGTCAGAAGGTAAACAACAAACGTGATCTAAACCAACAGTTACAATGATAAAATCATAAGTCAAAATGAGCGAAAGAGAGAAGTGCGAGAGGGATAACAGATATACATACCAGCTATCAGGTGAAAAACAGTCACAGGATCGGGACGAAGTGAAGAAAGACACGTAAGAAAGATTGCCTAAGGAGTACTGATAGGTACACAATAAAATCGAGAGACAGTGTAGGTCAGAAGGTCAACAACAGACGTGATCTAAACTAACAGTTACAATGATAAAATCATAAGTCAAAATAAGCGAAAGGGAGAAGTGCAAGAGGGAAAACAGATATACATACCAACTATCAGGTGAGAGAGAGACACAGGGCTGGGAAGAAGTGAAAAAAGACAGGTAAGAAAGATTCCCTAAAGAATACTGATAGCTAAACAGAGACAGGCCAAAAAAATCAAGAAACAGTATAAGTCAGAAGGTAAACACCAAACGTAATCTAGACCAACAGTTTCAATGATAAAATCATAGGTCAAAATAAGCCATCAAACTAGAGTCACTTCTGTGATCTCCGATTCCAGCCTCTGCCTTTTGTTTTTCGTTGCAGCATAGGGGTGAGGCTTTGTCTCCTGTTTCACACTGTTGCCTTAGGAGCTGAGGTAAAGTTTGTTGCTAGGTGGGCGGGGCAATGGAAGTCTGCCTGGAGAATGGCAAGGCAGTTTAAGCAGGTCTGTTTTTCTCTGCTTGTCTGGGTCCTCTGGGTTGGGGTCTGACGCTGTGTGCCTCAGCCAGGGTGGACCCGGAGTTCCAGAGCTCCAAAGTTCCAAAAGGCAGGCTGTAAATGACGAGAGTGGCACTGGGTCCCTACAGAGTATTCAGCCAGTAATGGACCCGGTGTCTCTGAGGGGCGGGCGCTCAGAGCCTCCCTGTGCGACCTGCGGTGCCGGGTGCCGGCCGGGGAGAGAGCTGGAGGGAGCAGGGACCCAAAAC